TGAGGCAAGATCAACATGAAGTTGATTTTTACATGATGATGATGATGATGATGATGATGACATGAATTTTTCTACCTACCCCTCCTCATCTTGTTTTAAACATTACCCTATAATAATTATTCCATTTTTAAAATTAAAGTTCCACTTCTGTATTCAGGAACCCCTCAACCAAAAATTGCTACTCGAATCCAGCGTAATTATATTTATCACGACAATTATCACACTCTAAAACATAACTTAGGCTGTTAATTTTTACAATAAATATTACACATATTGTTCAGAGGAAACCAGCTGACAAAACACACTTTGTGGAAATAAGACATTTTTAAAGCTAATTAAAATTGCTTTTCTCCAGTTTGTTCATTTGTTTTTGCTCAAACTTTTCCAGTTTGACTTGTTCCGATCTTTTCGTCTTCCCTCATCGTCGGGAGAGAAAGAAATTCTCCGTTTCGGCAAAAACATAACGAGTAAATTAAAATTCTATGATTTAATCGCATATCGCTAGAAACTCATAACGTCTCTGACTCAAAGCTGCTTTGAAAGATCTGTGATTTTTTAAAAGCATACCTGATATTATTTTTAATTTTCGGGATTATATTTTTAAATAAAAAATCCAATGGATTTTGCAATTAAGCAGTGAAAAGAAGGTCTCAATCGGGTGGTCATTTTACGGCTAACGGTTAATTTCTTTTCATATTGTGATCATGAAGATGAATTAATTTTTACAGTTAACTTTGTTTACGCGGACTAACAGTTAAAATTTCTCAATTTTTACGCCTCACTGCTAAATTTTTTCTGTCGTTTTACAGCTAACGATAAACGCCATTGAGCTCCTTTAAGAAGGCAATAAAATTACTATTTTTTCAATCAGAAAGACAGTGCTTCGAAGCTGCGTGCCAGTTATTCAATTCACTTAAAATCCCACCACAAAAACGAACGATATAAATTATTATTTACGAGATACATTTTCGAATTAGTTCCAACAAAGAGGTATTGTCTAAAATTGAGTCAAAAGATCAAGTGGAAAAAACATCTCCTGAGATGCAAACAAAATATGTCCGCAACTTAAGCGGGTCGATCGTTCGAGTCAAGGATCTTCAAAAGCGGTTGAATGAAAATGAAATAACACAAATTTGACTGATATGAGTGTAAGGTACGAATTTATCTTCGGGGGAAAACTTTATCTAAACTAACTGCGGTGAAACAGAAGTCTAATATGGAGAATTACATCTTTGTCATGTCTTCAATCAATGCTTCCCAGATACCGGTCGGGGTGCTTCTACCATCTGTCTACGCCACTATATATTAGAGGTGAGACAAATTTACAGTTCTTTCTTAAGGGGTGTATCACACACAATATTTCACACACGATAAAATACATTTTCTCAAGAGAACTGCTAATAACCTTTCGCGGGAAGAAGTGCATGGGTTGTCAGCCAACGTACAACAGCAAATGAATGCTGTAACTACATAACTGCACATCTTGAGTCCATGAAGGACAGAAGAGGAAAGTAAACTATACAAAGTATCCATAGAGGAACACTGTCTAACGCTTCTTTTCGGAAATGACGGAGAATGAGAATTCAGATTTAAGTAACAAAGCAGATACTGTAATCGGCGTTTTATTTTGTAGCGGCATAGGTGAAACTTAGCGGAGCCTCCTTGAACGTTCAGCTCGGTTGGGTTTTGAATTTCATTCAAAGAATTTTTTCTTCTTTAAGTCATGCGACAAAAGAGGAAAACCTTATTTGGATCTGAAGCAGTACAATTTCTTGCATCCTCTGTTATAGGTTTGCAGCCGGTCAAACACGAAAACGAGAACCACTGAAACTAAAACTAAACAGAGTGACGACCTGGTAATTCGCTTTGTTTTACAACAATTATTTATTTCCAGTTGTATCATGAAAGA